AAGTGAATTTTGCTTTGCACCCGGCAGAATTGCGGAAACGCTTAAAATAATATCTGAGATTTCAAGCAGCTGATTACTTGCTGCTTAATGTTTCACCGCGCAATTAGCTGTTTCTGTACTTCTGATAACTAGATATTTGTCATCGTTACCACAATTATTACTGTTATTACTGCCGCTAAATTTTCGTTACTATTAATATCATCACCACTATTATTGTCATTATTCACTTGTTTACTAGTAAGTCATCCTTGTTCAGTCCCATTAATCATAAATTTGAAACTATTCTGACTAATTTGTAACTATCAGCTGTTTGGCTTGGTTTGCAACTCTCAAGCAAAAGTCGAGGGTTCGATTTCACCAAACCCTTTACAATTAGTCCACTCATTTCATTCGTAAATTGTCGCCAACAATAATTTTTATTTTCTTCATCTGCCAACTCATTTCGTCCCTTTCATTGAAATAATTATACTCAATGGATCAAAACTAACAAGAAGAATAGCGAAAACAAGGAGTACAGGCACTTCAGTTTTGTCCAGCGCTAAATCATCCCAGTTCAATATGTCTCGTGCTGATTCTTTCGGTGTATCCGTTGATCTCAGTTCTGAGCAGCCTGAAATTCCTCAGATTGTTGTAACTTGAACAGGTTTTTATTTTTTTTAATCATTATTTTTTTTAACACGTTAATCAGTTGTCTGACCGTACTGATGAAACGAGAGACAACAGATGGATAAAGCGGATTATGGAGTGGTACTCACGAACTGTCCAAAGAACAGGGAGAAGGTTGCCACTGAGATGGAAAGATGCGCTCGAACGACTATATGGTATTATGTGTATGAGGAGAAGTTACCAAACGCATCAGCGGTGAGAAGGGACGTGAAGATGGAATAACAACTGATCGAAGAACCAATGTAAGTATTGGCGCGAGTAAAATGTATGCATTTCCACTCATCCTCCAGCAGCAGTAGAAGCAAAAAACAGAAAAAAAAAAATTTACAGGAGGAAAAACGAACCGGCGGCTCGGGATCGGAATTTGACAAACTGACGTTTCAGAGCGCTCTGTGCTTGTTTCATCCGATTATATAGCAATATGGTGCATTCGGATAAAAATTTTCCCAAATCTCCAATTGTTATGATTGCAAGGGGTGCGCCAAAGAGTGCAAACACAACACATGCAATCCGTCCATACGGCGTCACCGGTACTATATTACCATAACCTTGAAAAAAAAAATAACCGCCGGGCAACTAGAACGAATTGGCCAGAACGATTTTAACAAAAGACCCCCGTAAATTGTGCGCGGAAATTTCGGACTGATTCCTTTTATTGCAATGATGCTGACCAGTAGACTCATTATCATTACTACCAGAGGTTATTATCATTATCATCGCGACAGGAATTACTATCACCACTAATTCCTCAAATCGTGGCGCATTAACCATAACACGGTCGGTTTCTGCTACAGGTATTCGCAATAATAAGGTTGTCTGTACTGAGCCGACCAATACAGCATAAAAATTATAAAAGATTGGTTGTGACAGTAGGCTGATTTTAAAGCTTAAAAGTAAATTGATTCTATTGCTCGCGGTGTATTGGCGGAACCGGAGGGGGAAAGGGGAGAAGGGTGCGAGGGGCCTGTCGTCTCCCAAGGGCTTAGGTAGCAGTTGTTTTACTGTAGAAAAATCTGTTCAGTACCCTCTGTCGCCCCCTCTCCTCAGGAGC